ATGAATAGTTCTGAAAGTGCTCCTTTCGTCAAATTTCTACATAAAGGTTGTATCAGGTCCGTGCGTGGGAAGATCCCTTGCACGATAAAGCATAGAAATAACGAAGACCAAAATAAAGCAAACCAAAAGGTCAAGCCCATTTACATAATTCCGCTGAAGATGAGACCAAATGGATATAAATATATATATATATAGATGTGTGTTGTTGTTGTTCTTTTTCTACTCAAATCACAAATTGATTCGTGTGGCGGCCTGACAAACGGTCGGCCCCATTTCCGAGTATAATCCCTTCTGCAGGCCGTGATATTGATTCCCGTACTGCTCCCCCGAGAGCGATTTCACCTTCCATTGGTGGACTTTACGGCATTCCTCAAAGGAGCCGATGCCGTAGGTCCGATTGGTGCACTTATACATCGGGTTCTCACTGATGCTGGTTTGCACAAACTTATCACAGTGAAGCTGCTCGGTGGCCGTGCTATGCTCCACGATAAACTGCCGTAAAGAGCCCGGAAGGATATCCAGATCCACCTGGGCGGAGATAATCCCTTGGACCCCGCAGTACTTGCCTTCGTCGTACTCCCAGACGAAATCCAACCATCGCTTGATGGCGATTTGGGTGGGCAAATACTCCACCGTCAGGCCGCTAATCTCCGACGGGTAGGCGAAATGCCCTTGCAGCTCGTCGGGCAGGTCGCCTCGGCGGAAAATCGGCCGCACCACCTCCTTAATCCCCTTGAGAATGAACTTCCCTTCGCGTCGGGGGTCCTTTTCGACCCACAAAAGCGTCATCAGCAGCGTCGCGTAGAGCGCGCGGGGGAACTCGTCGAGCGGGATGTTGGGCTTGACCCCGCTGGGCAGAAGGAGGTGGCCGAGGCGCCATAAATCCATGATAATCGGCCCCAGGTCCGGCGGCTCGCCCCCGTGGGCCTGGGCGGCCTCGTGGTGGAGCCTTTGGTGGTAGGCCTGGAACTCGTCGAGGGTGATCCCCCCGGCGTGCTCCTTCGCGCAGTCGCCGAAGAGGTAAAGCAGGCGGTCGCGGGCCATGCCGGGGGCCATCAGGCCCCCCCGCACGCGGGGGTGGGCGGCGGCGTGAAAGCGCTCGTGGAGCTCCCGCAACGACACCACCCCCCGGTCGTCCGGCCCCAGCGAGTCGAAGGCGAGCTCGACCAGGCGTGCGTGGGCCGCGTCCAGGGCCATAGAACGGATCGGATGGTCGACAATCGCAATAGACCTATCGCGGACTATCCCACTATCGCAATAGATCTATCGCGTAATATATCAATATTGCAATAGATCACTATCGCAATATATCAATAGCGCAATATCTCACTATCTTACTATCGTAATATCTTACTATCGCAATATCTTACTATTGCAATATCCCACTATTGCACTATCTCACTATGTATATATATATCGCTATATAGATATATATATGGATATCGAGATTAGGATCGGGTTGGGGACGGGATGCCTCCTAATTGAGCGGAGGTGTAATGCGCACTGACAAAAAATGTATTTGCGAACGGCAAAGGTATTTCATCTAAGGCTCTTAAAGGGGATTAAATAAGGCGTAGAGATAAAACGGAAAGTGTTCGTGTGCTCAAAGACAGGTCACCAATGACTAGGTAAGCGTAGGTATCAACAGGACGTGAAAGGATTTGTTATTAGGTTTCACAGACTCAATAAAATATTTAGCTTTAAAGGAACAAAAAATTAAAAAACAACTTTTTTTTGTATGAGAAGGGGCAATAAAAGGACACAAAACAGTTGTAAATGAATACAAGTTTACTATACCTGTTTTGAAGTCTTTCCAGTATTTTTAACTCATAACTGTGGATAATATTGTTACCGTAAAAAAAATATTTTCATGCTAAAATGAAATATTCGGACCCCTTCTTTTCTTCTTTATGACTAAAAAATATATATACGCGAAGCTTAAAACAAACATTAGAGAATTTCATTGATAACTATCAGCTTCAAGACACATCCTCGTGGCGTTTCGTCAGCTTTTTGAAATAAACTATTTGAACTAAAGTCTTGATCTTGCACAGTAATAAGCGTGACGACCAAAATAACAACAAGGGTATAAAAATACATAACCTTGTATTGCGTTGCAAATAAGTCACCCATATTACGATTGGAAATATTTCAACTTTTCTCCCTTTCCCCCTATAAATTAGACATTGTAGAACTCTATTTACCATTAATTGGTTGTCTTTTTTTTTTACTACTTTAGTATATTTTCTTAACTTTGACAGAAAAATAACTGTAGCTGGTAGAAATTACCGGAAGTAAATAAATACTAAAAATAGCTTTCAATGAAGTTAAGTCATCGTAATCAAATAAAATGTTGCCATCCCTTGAAAAAAAAAAGTACCATCTAGAAAAAAAAAATTCAAGCGATACTCTCTTAGTGACTGTTTAGTGAACTATTCGGTTTTCTTGTCTATGGGCTTTCGGCCGCACATGAAGAAGCACGGGGTGAAGATGCCCTTTTCGCCCCCCTCGACGAGGTTCACCGAGGCCTTTTCGAGGATCGACAGCGTCTTGCAGACGCCCTTCGGGGCGAGCCCTACAAACTCCATCACGCGGCACATCGCCGCGGTGAGAAAGCGCCCGATCGCGGTCGATCGGAAGCCCCGCATGGTGGAATAATCGCCTTTGAGGACGTCGTACCACACCACGTTCTTCACCGGGCTCTTCGCGAACTTCTCGGCGAGGTCGCAGGAGTCCTCGACGACGAAGCCCGCGGCGCGCATCGCCGCCAGGGCCTGCTGGGTCGACTCCAGGTCGGGCAAACTATCCCCGAGCTCGATGTAATGTTTAATCTCGCGATGGCGAGGGTTGGCGGGGTCGTATTGATCGGTAATGCACCATTCATACACAACAAAGCGGCCGCCGGGCTTGATCAGGCGGTAGATCTCGCGGTAGCACTCGAGCTTCTCCTTGGCGTGGCAGGTCGCCTCGATCGCGTAGGCCCCGTCGAAGGAATTGTCGGGGAAGGCGATCTGGCAGAAGTCTGCCTTGACGTAATTAATATGGCCCGTCATCCCGAAGGCCGCGTCGTGGGCGCGGGCCCGGCTGATTTGGTAGGCGTTGTTGTTGATCCCGGTGATATGGCAGTGCGCCAGCCGCACCATATTCCGCGCGGGCCCCCCGACCCCGCAGCCGACGTCCAGGATTTGATCCCCTTCCTTAAAACCCCCGCGAAGGGCCAAATAAAACTCATGGCGGATGATGGATTCGTAGAAGGTTTCATGGGCATAGCAAGGGGCGAAGTGGAAGCTCTGGCCCCAGCCGTATTCGTAGATGTCCGTCACCATGTCGTAGTATTCGTTCACCATCGTCGTGGCCGCCGCCTTGCGATCCGCCACCGCGGCTTTTTCGAAGCGATCTCGAAAGCGATCCGCCGTCGTCGCGATATCGGCGTTCTCCTCGTTCGCCTGACGCCGACGCATCATATTCGTCGGCAAGATTTTCACCCCACCGTAGGACATGGCGTTAGGATTGATTAGTCTTTTTTTTTTTGAAAAAAAAAGAAATATGATAGTTGGGAATGATAGATCGCTGCACGTCTCCACAAAGTAATGATTCGATATCGTTTACTATTGAAAAAAAAAAAAAGAAATCAAGACGAAAAGAGGACGATTTTGAAATAGGCAGAGAATGGGAAAAGACATCTCTGGGAATCGGTTAGAGAACGATACGCCGTTTGTGAATTGCGTTGGATGGGAAATAAGTCGTCGCTGTTTTAGAATCCTTTTACGTGGACCCAAAAAGAAAAGAGATATGTAATTTCTATAATTTCATTAAACTAAAAGAGTGG